TCCTCCTCCTTCCCACTGAGGGGAAAGCCGATGCCCCAGCTGCCCCGTGTCGGGGGCATCCTCCACAGCTTTCTGCCAGGTCATTCTTGCACAGGACTAGATAGCCAGGGCCGCAGTCCATGCAGCCAGGACCGGGGTGTCCCCATGCTCCCCCAGGGCCCAACTGCGCGTGGCTGGGTGTGGACGGGAGTACAATGATGCGGTCAGAGCCACCTGCTCCTGCATTTTACTTCACTTTCTGAACCTGCTGTCCCTAAGGTATCATATCCACCCAGCCCACAGCTCACCCGTCTCACGACAGAGTTCCACGGGCAGCTTAGCTCAGAGTCAGCATCTGTTCTGGGCTACAGGTTTGTGTCCTCCAAATTAACACACCAAAGCCCTAACTCCGGGTGTGATGAGCCCTAACTCTGGGAGGGGATGAGGTCAGGGGGGTGGGGCCCTCATGATGGATCCGTTTCTTTGTAAGAGAACATGCGTCCTCTCCCGCATGGAAGGACATGGTGAGAAGCTGGCGGGCTGCAGGCCAGGAAGGGGCCCTTGCCACGACCCAGCCTTGTGGGCACCCTCATCTGACTTAGCCTCCAGCACAGCGAGAAATCGGTGTGGGTGAGGCTGCTCAGTCCACGGCAGTTTGTTCTGCAGCCTGCACCAAGACAGCGGCCCCTGTATGGATTCTGGCGCGCAATTTTGACTAGGCACAGTACCACCCAAGCTTCGTTTTTCAGGTGGGGGGTAACTGAGAGCCTGGCTCCGCAGCTGCTTGAGTCGTGCTGTTATAGCAACGTCTCAGCACGGTCACAACTGCATCATCATGAGCCCGGGCAAGGCACCCCTGCTGTAGAAGTGGCTTGGCAGGCTTGTCCTCACTCTTGGCCCCATTCAAAACTGCCAGCCTTAGAGGCCCCCAGAAATGAGTTGGAGCAGTCTTCCCAATGTAGTATGTGCCGTGTCCAAAATCCAGAGGTCCCCCAGTCTCTCCTCTTCAGAATGGAATGGAATGTGGGGTGCAGTTTGTCTGTTACCTCATAGGGTGTATCAGAGTGTGCTCAGATGCTGGAGCCCCAAAAGCTTCAATGCTGTGGCAGGCCGCCTATATCTTCTAGCCTTGGGCAGATATCTGCCTTCCTAGGTCACCCAGGTTCTCCCAGGTCCAGGCAGCGTGAGGTCATTGACACAATGTCGACCCCGCAGCCTTACAGTGAAGACAGTGAACAAAGCAGCAAGTGTACTGCAGTCAGTCCTCACCAAGTCAGGGCAAACCGTCTCTCAGTCCTCACCAAGTCAGGGCAAACCGTCTCTCAGTCCTCACCAAGTCAGGGCAAACCGTGTCAGTCCTCACCAAGTCAGGGCAAACCGTCTCTCAGTCCTCACCAAGTCAGGGCAAACCGTCTCTCAGTCCTCACCAAGTCAGGGCAAACCGTGTCTCAGTCCTCACCAAGTCAGGGCAAACCGTGTCTCAGTCCTCACCAAGTCAGGGCAAACCGTGTCTCAGTCCTCACCAAGTCAGGGCAAACCGTCTCTCAGTCCTCACCAAGTCAGGGCAAACCGTGTCTCAGTCCTCACCAAGTCAGGGCAAACCGTGTCTCAGTCCTCACCAAGTCAGGGCAAACCGTGTCTCAGTCCTCACCAAGTCAGGGCAAACCGTCTCTCAGTCCTCACCAAGTCAGGGCAAACCGTCTCTCAGTCCTCACCAAGTCAGGGCAAACCGTGTCTCAGTCCTCACCAAGTCAGGGCAAACCGTGTCTCAGTCCTCACCAAGTCAGGGCAAACCGTGTCTCAGTCCTCACCAAGTCAGGGCAAACCGTGTCTCAGTCCTCACCAAGTCAGGGCAAACCGTCTCTCAGTCCTCACCACGTCAGGGCAAACCGTCTCTCAGTCCTCACCAAGTCAGGGCAAACCGTGTCTCAGTCCTCACCAAGTCAGGGCAAACCGTGTCTCAGTCCTCACCAAGTCAGGGCAAACCGTGTCTCAGTCCTCACCAAGTCAGGGCAAACCGTCTCTCAGTCCTCACCAAGTCAGGGCAAACCGTGTCTCAGTCCTCACTAAGTCAGGGCAAACCGTCTCAGTCCTCACCAAGTCAGGGCAAACCGTGTCTTAGTCCTCACCAAGTCAGGGCAAACCGTGTCTCAGTCCTCACCAAGTCAGGGCAAACCGTCTCTCAGTCCTCACCAAGTCAGGGCAAACCGTGTCAGTTCTCACCAAGTCAGGGCAAACCGTCTCTCAGTCCTCACCAAGTCAGGGCAAACCGTGTCTCAGTCCTCACCAAGTCAGGGCAAACCGTGTCTCAGTCCTCACCAAGTCAGGGCAAACCGTGTCTCAGTCCTCACCAAGTCAGGGCAAACCGTGTCTCAGTCCTCACCAAGTCAGGGCAAACCGTCTCTCAGTCCTCACCAAGTCAGGGCAAACCGTGTCAGTTCTCACCAAGTCAGGGCAAACCGTCTCTCAGTCCTCACCAAGTCAGGGCAAACCGTGTCTCAGTCCTCACCAAGTCAGGGCAAACCGTGTCTCAGTCCTCACCAAGTCAGGGCAAACCGTGTCTCAGTCCTCACCAAGTCAGGGCAAACCGTGTCTCAGTCCTCACCAAGTCAGGGCAAACCGTCTCAGTCCTCACCAAGTCAGGGCAAACCGTGTCTCAGTCCTCACCAAGTCAGGGCAAACCGTCTCAGTCCTCACCAAGTCAGGGCAAACCGTGTCTCAGTCCTCACCAAGTCAGGGCAAACCGTGTCAGTCCTCACCAAGTCAGGGCAAACCGTGTCTTAGTCCTCACCAAGTCAGGGCAAACCGTCTCAGTCCTCACCAAGTCAGGGCAAACCGTCTCAGTCCTCACCAAATCAGGGCAAACCATCTCTTAGTCCTCACCAAATCTTCTGTCTGTGGATCGGGTGTGGAGAAGAGTGTGCTTGCCGAGTCAGCAGCTGTGCTGATCTGTTCAGGTAAAGACACTACTTGTCACAGCAGCTGTGACAGGAGAGGCTACCTGGTCACACTGCAGGACCCCACCGCCACCTTCCACGACAGCCTGGTGTCTGCAGTGCTGAATTCCATGAATTGCGTGGGAACTTGTGAGCACTATTTTGTCATCCTTCAAGCCTCTGATGGTGGCTATGATCTCTGCAGTTCCTCCAGGAAGGCAGGATGGATTTACTAGTTTGGGAGGAATGGGGAGTGGGGTTCAGAACCTTCCAATTGAGGGTTCCTAATTCAGTGGCTCTGGCGTCACAGGTTAAGGAACCAGTGATGGTTTCTGCCAGCTGCCAGCTCTGTCCGTCCCGATTAAACGCCTGGAGCCCCACAGACCCTGGTGAGATGGACGTAGGTCTAACCCCACACACCACATGGCTTTCATAAGACTCCTCTATGGCCCGAGGTGCTGCTCTACTCGTCTGCTTGGTGACGACTCAGCCTGGACAGTTTCCAAGGTCGGCGCTTTCCCGTTACCACTGCAATGTTCCCAGCACGTGGATGCAGGTCCCTTTGGGGAATATTGGCCACAGATGCCAGGTCTACCAGTCCTGTGGTTAGGGTCCTTCCTCAGGTGAACCTGACCTCCCTTCAGTCAACGAGCTCCCAGTCTGTGAGCTGACCTCCATGTGGGACCTGGACCACAGCCTACTGGTTTTTGTTCATTGCTGACCAAGGTCTGTTGGTGCCTTCCTGTCTCTGTTCAGGCTGCTGTGATGAAATACCAACCCAGGGCAGGATAGGGGACCCCTCAGGAGGCAAGACTGTGGGGCCAGTCAGGCTCCCTGTTGATTAAGTTACTGAGGGTCTGCCCAGCAGATGGGGCCCAGAAAGCTGGTGCAGATCCAGCCATTTGCACCTGGGCTCCCATGTGTCCTGCTGTCACTGGGTTAATAGCCGTCCAGGAAGAGCCCAGGGCTCTGCAGAGGAGACAGGGAATAAATGGACAGTGGCAACCCCACAGGGATGCTTTTTCTCTCTCATCCCATCCCCAGGGCCTAAGACAGAGCTTAGCCTCACTTCCGACACTCGTCAGGTGCCCGAGAGAAGCTTGCTGCTCAGCAAATGCACTTCCCTGTATGGGGGGCTTTATTAGTTGGTGATATGCTTGTTTTCCTCCTTAACTGTGAGGCTGTGAAAACAGAACCCGTGTCTCGGCATAGCGGGAGTTCTCTGGTGGCCCACGCTGTCAGACCTCTTCCTCCCCCAGAGCCCTTCTGCATCTGCCTCAGGATCTCTGGATTCTCTATTCTCTAGGAGGGCAGTAGGAGGTAAGGAGTTGGTTACACAGATCCCACTCTGTCCATGTTCTGTCAATAGTGTGAAAAGGTGTCTGTCCCAGCGAGTTAACTTTACCCATCAATTTCATCTGTCCATGTAAGATGTCAGCCCTGATCTTACACCCATAACAAGAACATTCTACAGGAAACTCGTTCTCCTTATGACAGAATTCAACATGGAATGGACGAGTAAATGCTGGGCATGGTGGCTCACACCTGTACTCCCAGCACTTTGGGAGGCTGAGACAGGAGGCTGCTTGAGATCAGGATTTTGAGATGAGGCTGGGCAATACAGTGAGACCGCCATCTCTCCAAAAATGTTAAAAGACAAAAAAAGGTGAGGCGTCTGCAGTGTGCAGATGTACAGATGTGGTGGCGTGCATCTGTAGTTCCAGCGGCTCAGGAGACTGAGGCAGGAGAACTGCTTGCACCTGGGAGGTGGAGACTGCAGTGATTGTGGGAGCCAGGGGCTTATGGTGAGCCATGATCGCACCACTGCCCTGCAGCCTGGGACAGAGGGAGGCTTTGTCTCTTAAAACAAACAAACGAAAAACAAGTACACGAGTTTCTTGAAAGAGTCCCAGTGCCTACTTCCAATTCAGAGCTCTGTTCTCGGGCATGTTGCTGGGGTTCAGACAAGTTCTCCCCAAAGTGGCAGGCAGTGATACAGCCAGGAACAGACAGGCCAAACCCTCAACCCCCGCGAGTGTGACTGTTCTTTCTTAACTTACACAGAAAAAGTGCGACTCGTCAGACTGCATTTTAAAATAAAAATACTTTATTTATGAAGCCAGACAGCAGCTAACAGTTTGAGAAGGCTTGGGAAGAAATCACTTTCACATGGGGAGATAGATTCAACCTAGAAAATATTTGTCATAAAAGTAACATTTTTAGTCATCTGTAAAGTGCTGAGAAATTTATTTCTGGTGACTGCCTGCGTTAGGGGTTTTTTTCCTTGTTATCTGTTCAGTGAGTAAAACACTGATATGCTCACACTCACTAAGTATGCACCTTGACATGATGGTGTGCACTAATTATGCACCTTGTCACGCAGGGGTGGCTCTGCAGCTGCAGACTAGAAACCTATGCGTGCAGAGGAGGCGTCTGCGCGACAGACGGGCTGGTCCGAGGTCACACTTCTTGGCCTGGGTCCCACTGCCAGTGACAGCAGCCGGCACGGCCTTAGCACCAGGAGTCATTTGGAGCGTATGTTCAAAAGTGGGCACAGCATTCCGGGTCAGTAGGACCAAGGAGCTGCATGGAGGAACTAAACAAGACTTCTCTGCCTATTTCCTCTAACACGGAAGCACAGACGTTTCTCATGTGTATGCCGGGTCCATTGATGTGAGAATGGAGGAATAATTTGGCGTTGATGCTTAAGTCCAAATGTTGACGGGTGTTGAGCATTTTGGTTTGAAGCAAACATTATTTGTGAAATGCTACAGATAATATATCGACTGAAACATTAACTGTTAATTTTTTAATAGAAAATGCAATATAAAAATATTACTTTGTTAAAATATACAGTACACACATTAGACCACTTTGGAAAACCCAGTTTATTTCTGAAAGCAAATCATGCTAGCTGGATTGGTAGGTGTTACCTGGCATTTAAAACTGTTAACAAATTTTTTTCTAAAATTCAAAAATATAGAATATAAATAAAAGTCGTGAATCTGAATCAGGTAAAATTATTTTTAAGAATTGTTAATAAATGGCTACACTATTGAATACATATTTTCTCATAAATTCTTAGTCTGCAAATTCTCTAAGGAATATGATACAACAGGTCTGACGGATGAAGTCTAACGTTTAGTATTTATATACGGACTACAGCAGTCAAGAAGAATGTGCTGTTTTCCCAGAACTGCACTCAATTATTGAAAATTGCATCAATCTTCTGCCTTTGGAAGTGCTTATGTTTACTTCTGCTGTACAGAAGGGAAGGAATTGGCGGGAACTCCACCATTACGATATTGCACATTCTCCCCCGAATACTGTTTTTAATTTATTCCCAACCAGTGTAGACACAGCTTAATCACTCATGCCGCAGGATTAGCTGAGAAGTCACCCTTGATTGCAAATTCTGGCAGCAGGAGGCAGCCGTCCTGCTTATATATTCAGCAGGGGGATCTGCCAGACCATGACGGACGGCGCCAGCTCCTCCTGGTGAGGCTGCCGGGCCTTCCTGTGCACCCGGCGGTGGCCCTGCCCTCCACAGACCACCAGCGCCGAGCTGGCCTTGGCTTTCTTGGCCCGTCGTGCTTTGCTTTTCAGTGAGACAGGATCCTTCAGGAGGTCATAGATGGTGCCGTCCTCTGATCTGTGCTCTAGAGAGCTGGAGCCGTGAGACAAGCTCAGGGACCCAGAGGAGGAGGACACGTCGCTTTTCTGAGCCATCGATCCCAGTGAATCTCCTAACCAGATGGCTGCGTCAGGGTCGCCCTGGCTCAGGGATGAACCAGCTCCCTCATTCGGAAGTGCGTCCTTCGGGTCTTCGTCCTGGGGCTCAGAGCCGGGAGCCAGGCTGTCCCTGGATTTGTCCTTGCCTTTCTCGTGCAGAGCCGTGGCCAGGACAATGAATCTGACAGGACCATTGTGTGCGTGGTAGGAGACCATGCCTCTTCCTGAAAAGGGAAACCGTTCAACAGCTGTCTTTTAAAGCAGGCAAAGTGACAGAGAAGGAAATGAAAACTGTGACTTAACACCAGCACATCTCTCCCTGCCCAGATAACAAAACCTGTGAGTAAACTTCGTACTGGAATAATAGGTGACAATGAAAATATCCAGATTATATTCTGGGCTTCTAGTTATTGTGAAGAAGCCTTTAAAAATTATTTTTTTTCTTTTTTGCATAAAACTGGAATGCTATAACAATTATTTTCTAAATAGAAACAAAATAAAATATAAACTTGTGTTCTCCTCAGCAGTATCTCAGTTCTAATGCTTGCACTTTCCAAAGTAATCAAATAGTCATTTTTCCATTCTGTGTAAGATACCTTCTCACTGTGTGGAAATATACCGAATTGTCCTAAGTATTGATTGAAAATATTAAAGCCTGAGATGTGCTGGTTTTGGAAGGACATGACTCAACGACCAGCTGCCATTTTTCATTACAAAAAGTTCTGGGGTTCAGAACAACTTCACTCTATAGTTTGATTAAAATTAGGACTTTCAGTTTCCAGGTGATATGATTCACATTTTGAAGTCATCATCGTATCAGAAATACCTGTAGGTCTTTTTAATGCCACACAGAGCCCCGCAGCCTCCACACGGATTCTCTAAGCATCGGGTGGGCCTGGCGTGTCTCCTGGGTGCTTCACAGGCAATATAACATATGGACAGGGGCATGTGTCCTTTCCCCAAGTGCTTTCAGGATGAAACAGGCGCCAGCCCTCACCATCATCCTACTCTGGCCAAGGCATGCCAAAGAGCAGAGTGGCAAAATGAAGTCTGCAAGGGGCAGGAGCTGGGGGGACGGTGCAAGGACGGGGACATTCACCACCTGGTGAAGCGCATACTTGTGTTCCCTGCACACCAGCGATTCTGCCCCTGGGCATGCCCCCCAGGAGGAACTTGTGCCTGTGTCAGCAGAGCCAGCCATGCAAATATTCAGAGGCTTGCTGTGTAATGCAAAAAACAGGAAGCACCTAGCTACCCATCCAAAGGAACACAGTGAGGGTGCACCTCCTTTCAGGAAGCACCTAGCTACCCATCCAAAGGAACACAGTGAGGGTGCACCTCCTTTCAGGAAGCACCTAGCTACCCATGGAGAGAAATACGGTGAGAGCATGCCTCATTTCAGAATCACCTAGCTATCCATCTAGAGAAACAGTGAGGGTGCACCTCCTTCTAGGAAGCACCTAGCTACCCATCCAGAGAAACACAGTGAAAGAGCGCCTCCACCCAGGAAGCACCTAGCTGTCCATCCAGAGGAACACAGGGAGAGCACACCTCCTCCCAAGAAGCACCTACCTGTCCATCCAGAGGAACACAGGGAGAGCACACCTCCTCCCAAGAGGCACCTAGCTGTCTATCCAGAGAACACAGTGGGGGCACACCTCCTCCCAGGAAGCACCTAGCTGTCCATCCAGAGGAACACAGGGAGAGCACACCTCCTCCCAAGAAGCACCTAGCTGTCTATCCAGAGAACACAGTGGGGGCACACCTCCTCCCAGGAAGCACCTAGCTGTCCATCCAGAGGAACACAGGGAGAGCACACCTCCTCCCAAGAAGCACCTAGCTGTCTATCCAGAGAACACAGTGGGGGCACACCTCCTCCCAGGAAGCACCTAGCTGTCCATCCAGAGGAACACAGGGAGAGCACACCTCCTCCCAAGAAGCACCTAGCTGTCTATCCAGAGAACACAGTGGGGGCACACCTCCTCCCAGGAAGCACCTAGCTGTCTATCCAGAGGAACACAGTGGGGGCACACCTCCTCCCAGGAAGCACCTAGCTGTCTATCCAGAGGAACACAGTGGGGGCACACCTCCTCCCAGGAAGCACCTAGCTACCCATCCAGAGGAACACAGTGGGGGCACACCTCCTCCCAGGAGGCACCTAGCTGTCTATCCAGAGGAACACAGTGGGGGCACACCTCCTCCCAGGAGGCACCTAGCTGTCTATTTAGAGGAACACAGTGGGGGCACACCTCCTCCCAGGAAGCACCTAGCTGTCTATCCAGAGAACACAGTGGGGGCACACCTCCTCCCAGGAGGCACCTAGCTGTCTATCCAGAGGAACACAGTGGGGGCACACCTCCTTCTAGGAAGCACCTAGCTGTCCATCCAGAGAACACAGTGGGGGCACACCTCCTCCCAGGAAGCACCTAGCTACCCATCCAGAGAACACAGTGGGGGCACACCTCCTCCCAGGAAGCACCTAGCTGTCCATCCAGAGAACACAGTGGGGGCACACCTCCTTCTAGGAAGCACCTAGCTGTCCATCCAGAGAACACAGTGGGGGCACACCTCCTCCCAGGAAGCACCTAGCTGTCCATCCAGAGGAACACAGTGGGGGCACACCTCCTCCCAGGAAGCACCTAGCTACCCATCCAGAGAACACAGTGGGGGCACACCTCCTCCCAGGAAGCACCTAGCTACCCATCCAGAGAACACAGTGGGGGCACACCTCCTCCCAGGAAGCACCTAGCTGTCCATCCAGAGGAACACAGTGGGGGCACACCTCCTCCCAGGAGGCACCTAGCTGTCCATCCAGAGAAACACAGTGGGGGCACACCTCCTCCCAGGAGGCACCTAGCTGTCCATCCAGAGGAACAGAGTGGGGGCACACCTCCTCCCAGGAAGCACCTAGCTGTCCATCCAGAGAACACAGTGGGGGCACACCTCCTCCCAGGAAGCACCTAGCTACCCATCCAGAGAACACAGTGGGGGCACAGCTCCTCCCAGGAAGCACCTAGCTATCCATCCAGAGAACACAGTGGGGGCACACCTCCTCCCAGGAAGCACCTAGCTGTCCATCCAGAGGAACACAGGGAGAGCACACCTCCTCCCAGGAAGTACCTAGCTACCCATCCAGAGAACACAGTGGGGGCACACCTCCTCCCAGGAAGCCCCTAGCTGTCCATCCAGAGAACACAGTGGGGGCACACCTCCTCCCAGGAAGCACCTAGCTGTCTATCCAGAGAACACAGTGGGGGCACAGCTCCTCCCAGGAAGCACCTAGCTGTCTATCCAGAGAACACAGTGGGGGCACACCTCCTCCCAGGAAGCACCTAGCTGTCTATCCAGAGAACACAGTGGGGGCACACCTCCTCCCAGGAAGCACCTGCCTACCCATCCAGAGGAACACAGTGGGGGCACACTTCCTCCCAGGAAGCACCTAGCTACCCATCCAGAGAACACAGTGGGAGCACACCTCCTCCCAGGAAGCACCTAGCTGTCTATCCAGAGGAACACAGTGGGGGCACACCTCCTCCCAGGAAGCACCTAGCTGTCCATCCAGAGAACACAGGGAGAGCACACCTCCTCCCAGGAAGCACCTAGCTGTCCATCCAGAGAACACAGTGGGGGCACACCTCCTCCCAGGAAGCACCTAGCTGTCCATCCAGAGAACACAGGGAGAGCACACCTCCTCCCAGGAAGCACCTAGCTACCCATCCAGAGAACACAGTGGGGGCACACCTCCTCCCAGGAAGCACCTAGCTGCCCATCCAGAGGAACACAGTGGGGGCACACCTCCTCCCAGGAAGCACCTAGCTGCCCATCCAGAGGAACACAGTGGGGGCACACCTCCTCCCAGGAAGCACCTAGCTGTCCATCCAGAGAACACAGTGGGGGCACACCTCCTTCTAGGAAGCACCTAGCTGTCCATCCAGAGAACACAGTGGGGGCACACCTCCTCCCAGGAAGCACCTAGCTGTCCATCCAGAGAACACAGTGGGGGCACACCTCCTCCCAGGAAGCACCTAGCTGTCCATCCAGAGGAACACAGGGAGAGCACACCTCCTCCCAAGAAGCACCTAGATGTCTATCCAGAGAACACAGTGGGGGCACACCTCCTCCCAGGAGGCACCTAGCTGTCTATCCAGAGGAACACAGTGGGGGCACACCTCCTCCCAGGAGGCACCTAGCTGTCTATCCAGAGGAACACAGTGGGGGCACACCTCCTCCCAGGAAGCACCTACCTGTCCATCCAGAGGAACACAGTGGGGGCACACCTCCTCCCAAGAAGCACCTAGCTGTCTATCCAGAGAACACAGTGAGGGCACACCTCCTCCCAGGAAGCACCTAGCTGTCCATCCAGAGGAACACAGTGGGGGCACACCTCCTCCCAGGAAGCACCTAGCTGTCCATCCAGAGGAACACAGTGGGGGCACACCTCCTCCCAGGAAGCACCTAGCTGTCCATCCAGAGAACACAGTGGGGGCACACCTCCTCCCAGGAAGCACCTAGCTGTCTATCCAGAGAACACAGTGGGGGCACACCTCCTCCCAGGAAGCACCTAGCTGTCTATCCAGAGAACACAGTGGGGGCACACCTCCTCCCAGGAAGCACCTAGCTGTCTATCCAGAGAACACAGTGGGGGCACACCTCCTCCCAGGAAGCACCTAGCTGTCTATCCAGAGAACACAGTGGGGGCACACCTCCTCCCAGGAAGCACCTGCCTACCCATCCAGAGGAACACAGTGGGGGCACACTTCCTCCCAGGAAGCACCTAGCTACCCATCCAGAGAACACAGTGGGAGCACACCTCCTCCCAGGAAGCACCTAGCTGTCTATCCAGAGGAACACAGTGGGGGCACACCTCCTCCCAGGAAGCACCTAGCTGTCCATCCAGAGAACACAGGGAGAGCACACCTCCTCCCAGGAAGCACCTAGCTGTCCATCCAGAGAACACAGTGGGGGCACACCTCCTCCCAGGAAGCACCTAGCTGTCCATCCAGAGAACACAGGGAGAGCACACCTCCTCCCAGGAAGCACCTAGCTACCCATCCAGAGAACACAGTGGGGGCACACCTCCTCCCAGGAAGCACCTAGCTGCCCATGCAGAGGAACACAGTGGGGGCACACCTCCTCCCAGGAAGCACCTTGCTGTCCATCCAGAGAACACAGTGGGGGCACACCTCCTTCTAGGAAGCACCTAGCTGTCCATCCAGAGAACACA